CCTTTCAGACTGAGTAAATATTGATCGGTTTGAATCTGATTGCCCCAGAGGAAAACACCACAGCATCTGAATAGCCTCCAAAAGTAAACTTTCAAAGGTGAAGCTGAGAGCAGACTTCAGAGCCACAGCACGATTTCAACTCAGCCTAGTTTGGGGACACCCTGAATTTCTGGAGAACTCTGAATGAATGTGAGAGAAGAGAAGTGAGAAAAAAATCATTTGGAAACTGGAATTTTATATTGCAATGATCCCAAGCTCCTAACTGAGACTCTTGTCCCTTTAAAATTTATCAACAAAACGTTATTTTCTGTTTTCTCTCTTCTGTCATTTTAGTTGCCATGGCTGCCATTTTTCAAGGAGCTAACCATGCTCCTCAGAGACCAAAACAGAAAAAGAGAGACCTTGAAATAGGATGTGTTAAGCGCCTTTGATTTAATCGATTGGGACAACTAAAAAGATACAAATGTTTTCCTCGTTGAAAGGTATATTAATGTTTCCTAAATGCATTGCTTGTTAACTGATTTATTCCATGACCTAGAAAAGGCTTGAGATGTTTAGCCATAATTCATCGTTCTCCTCTCTCTCAACTACATTTAAACCAGCACCTTGAAGATTGGAATCTCCGGGATTCCAGCAGGCCGACCCTGCTTTTAGATATTGAAATCTCGGCAGTGGCATGCAAATGACACTTTAACACATTAAAGTATTTGGAAACCAGCCATCTGTTTTGCTGTGTGACCTTACACTAATAAACAAAAGATACTATATAAAGCCAGGCGGGAAATGAAAGAAAGAGTTGGCCGACTTTGAAGTTTTTCTCCATCCACTTGAGTCTTTTAGAAGCAATCTCAGAACCCAGGAGCCGAGGGGAGGGCACAGGGTGCCCTTGATATGGCCGCAGCAACTGCGCCTGCAGAGTCCGGGCTTGCTGCCTTTTGACAGGGAACTACAGGAAATTTCAAGGATACACCAGGAGGCCTGCAAATAACAAGTTTTTGTAGGATTTCTCTCCCCAGTACAATCCCAGCCCATCCTTTGTATAACACCCTTTGGTGAGGAAGGAAGTCATATGTCTGTATTTGTTTGTCATGCTGTAAAATTTCTGCTCTACTCTTGGGGCTAAATTAAAGCTTTCAAAAACGTGTGAAAGTAAAGGAAACTGTGGTAAGAGGTCTAGGAGGAGAGCCACTTTGAACTCTGATTTGCTGGCTTCCTCTCCTTGAGAGCAGCAGATTCTTACGTTGGTCAGAAGCAACTTGAATATTGAGAGACTTCCTCGTGGCTTCCACAAGTTCACCTGGAAAAACCTGTTGAACCCAGAGGAGAAAATATAATTTTTTTCTGGGTTATGTGGCATGGAATTCGAACTGTAGACCCATTAGCGCCCTGATGGCTGTGAAGTAAAAGCTGAATTGGATGGGAATGAGATGTGTAACCCAGAAGGAACTGGGCGTGGGAGTTAAAAAGTGGCAGGAAAGGGTGGATATTGACAGGAGGACTGGGAGGAGGGATACAAGGGTTTACTCAGAGCAGACCACACTCAATTTAAAGGGTGGAATACTTTGGCGCACTATCTGACAATCCAAAAAAAGAAAGAAAGAAAGAGAGGTGGCGTGGGGGCCTCATCCTCAAACAGCTTTATACTGAGCTAATTAAATGTGAATCTCTCAGCTCTTGGTTCACTGATGTGAGGAAAGACTGACTGAAGAGTTTCAGCTTTTGAAGGGGATTCTGTTTATATATATGTCAACATTCAGTTGGAGGTGAAAAGGTTAGCACTTGACCCAGGAAGTATCCATGTTTGTTTCAAAAATAGATCTGCTCCATAAATTTCTTCACCATTCATTTTTTCCATGATGAACTTTGATTATGATAAAGAAGTTGTTGCTATTTAAAGAAAATCAAACTATTACATAGACATTGGCTAGGTGCAGTTACACTTACAGGGGAAGCTTCAGCTACATGATGAAAAGCATTTACTCTTTTTTTTTTCAAGAACATGATCCATCTCTTTGAAATTACACACCACCCTTCTCCCCTTCCTCACGTGAATTGAGCCAACTTTGTCGGAACCAACAAATTGTAGCCAAGCCAAATACATGGATGCTTAAGCATATCTGAAACTTGAATATATTTATTACAGACATCTTAAGACCCGTAAACTCTGCTCTGGATCATATCACTCCAGATCTCAGAGCTGCTCATGATTGTACAGGAAATGGGGAATATCACAAAGGCTAACTAACTGATAGAACTCAGTGTGGTACTTTAGGGACATCAAAACATTGTGCGACATGCAAAAGCCTATTCACGAATCACACAAAATATACATTCATTGTGCCATCCATCACATTAACGATTGAGTTGAAAATACATCATATCCAGCTAAGGTAACTGTGGAAAGAAGAAGCTGGTTCGAAGAGTACATTTAGGACCCGAATAATCTAGCACAAATTTTAGAGTGTGGCCAGAGAAACAAGAAAGGGGTGGGGATGGGGAGAGACTCAGCACAGGAAGCAAGGTTTCTGACCTTGTATTCTGCAGGCCTTCTTAACTCACTGAAAGAACAAATTGAGGCTACCCTCTGAGGCATCTGATTTTAAATGAGATCTCTTATTCTTTAACCTACAATCACATAGAAAGTTGTACCAGCTTTGAGAGTTTGCCCACCCTGTTTTAGTCACTTAATCTAAACATTTCTAGAAAATCTGTATAAAGATAAATCTTTCAGGACAAAGTATTTACAACCAGCAAACTCAAACACTATGAAATTGAATTAAATTAAGGAATGAATTAATTGTGTAAACACGCTCATGGTACATCTCTTCTTCATGAGCTCCTGGACTCTCCTCTTTCTCTAGTCTGCTTTATGGGCAAAGTAGGGGAGAACTGTAAATATACACATAGATAAAAGATAAGGGGCCTCCTTCTGACATGATTCTGCTGGCAAGGAGACTATATTCCAAAGGGCATCTGAAAGGAACAGTAGGTTCTGTGGAAATCTCCTAAAAGTAGGAGTGTTAGGGGCCATCAGAAAATTGATGCTGGCACTCAGTCTGCATTAAGGAGCCAACACTCCCTCCTCTTTCCCTTCCCCATCAAGTCTCTATTCCAGAATTCTCTGGAAATACATTATCTTGGCCAGGAGTCCCCCAGATAGGATCAGAAAGGAAGAGAGAGATTGTAAATGGAAAGGAAGATAAGCTAAGAATGTGCTTTAGGTAAGAAGTCCCAGCCGGAGGACTAGCCTGGGCTGCTGAGTTTGGGGCTGGGGCGGCATCAGTGCGAGGTAGGTAGAGTGTCTGAGGTAGAAGACCCCGGGGAAGGAATGCAGGGTGACGAGCTGGACTTTTCTGAGGATTCCTCGGCCTTCTCCTCGCTTCCCGGTGGAGTGGCTGGAGAGATGGGCAAGAGGCCCTCCTTCTCTCGCTTCTTCTGCTTCATTCGGCGATTCTGGAACCAGATCTTCACCTGGGTCTCATTGAGCTGCAGGGACGCGGCAATCTCCACCCTGCGGGCGCGCGTCAAATACTTGTTGAAGTGAAACTCCTTCTCCAGCTCCGTGAGCTGCTTGGTGGTGAAGTTGGTACGCACTGCATTGGGTTGACCCACATAGCCGTACTCTCCAACTTTCCCTGGGGGCAAGGTGGGAAGTGATGAGAGAAAAAGGTAAAATTTTTATAATTGATATGAGATTCCCTACACCCTTCAAAGCAACATTTAGGTAAAGGGGGAATCAAGAATTTCTCAACACAAACCGTGCTGGAGAGTGTGAGTGATGAGGTGTAAAGGTTGTTAATCTGAAGCCGACCATTAACTTCATCAGACCAGTGATTAATAGAGCCTAGAGATATTAACAGAACGCCCCCCTACACACACAAACACACCTACCCACTTCCCCATTTCCTACTTCCAAAACCTCTAAAGCCCAGCCCCTTTGGAACCACAACAGTCCCAGATGTTCCTTTGCCCCAGCTGCACCTGGGCAACCTCCCAGCACCCTACAGCACTAGTGGGAAACAAGAACTTGGGGGAAAAAACATAATTAATTTGCCTTGCAAACTAAACATACCAGCTCCTTCCAGAATCATCAAGGAGCAATCTTGGAATGGCAAGACTGACCTGTTTTGGGAGGGTTTCTTTTGACTTTCATCCAGTCAAAGGTCTGAGCTGGAGAAGACGTCTCTGATGCAGGGGAGCGACAGGCTTCTTGGTGGCTGGCGTGGAGAGGGGACAGGGAGTTATTATACGTGGCCAGGGCCAGGCTCTGGTGCTCTTGTCCATATGAGTGGTGAATGTACTGAGGCGAGCCCACCGCGCCCCCAGCATAACCCTGGTGGTGGTGGTGATGCTGGACCATGGGAGATGAGAGATTTCCAGAGTAAACAGCGGGAGCGCACGAGGGGTACCCACCACTTACTTCTGCTTCCTGATTTAACGCGTAGGGGCTGTAAGGCGCGCCGAAGTTCTGCGCGCTGTAGCCTGGACCACAACTCGAGTGGGAGTAGGACACCCCCAGGTTCCCGGGAGTCTGGTAGGTGGCCGGCTGGGGGTGGTGATGGTGGTGGTGGTGGTGGGGCGGGCTGATCTGCACCCCCCTGCTCACTAGGAAGCGGTCGTCGCCGCCACAGCTGTTGGCACTGACCGCGCACGACTGGAAAGTTGTAATTCCATGATCGGAAGGGTAGGCTCGCGCTGAGCAGGTTCCCGAGTCGCCACCGCTGAGGATAGGGTATTCCAGGAAGGAGCTCATTCTTGCATTGTCCATCTGTCACTGAGTGACCGGGTCCTGCGAAGCTCTGGGCGACCGTGCCAACTTTCTCACTTCCTCCATGGGGCTGGAGAAGAAAAATGATATGAATGTACAGTGCGCAGGAGGGGGGGCGGGAGGGCGGAGGGCGCTAGGGGAGAGGCACGTGACTGTATCAGCCAATGGCCGAGCCTTCTGCGAAAGTTTGCTGGCTCCTGCGGTGATGGATCACCGTTTCAGTGGCATTTAAATCCCCGGCGCTCCTCAGTCTAGGTGACGCGCAGTCGCCCCCCCAGGCAGCTCGGGCAGCAGCAGCAGCTGCGGCGGCTGCAGGGGCATATTCGGAGCGCTGGGGCGACGGGCAGCGGAGGCTGCCTTCTGCGCGCGCTGACTCTGATCGCCACCCTTCTCCGGGAGGGGGTGCTGGGAGGCATCCCCAGTCACCGCCCCCTCCCCACGGTGCACAGAAAGAGGAACTGGCAAGAGGTGAGAAGCGAAGAGGGCTCCGCGCTCTCTTGGGTCGGGAATCAGGGGGCGGGAGCATTGTGGGCCGCCACTAGCACAGAGGCCGAGCCCGGAACGCGAGGAGCTGTAAGAGTCGCTCCCCGGGCGCTTTCACTGCGGTCCCTGCTGTGTTGCCGTGGGACAGTGAGGAGCGCCGAGAACTGTGGCGTATGACGAATCTGGGCCACCAACTCTCCAAACTCCAGAAGGAGAGGAAAGTGCGCAGAGGGCTGGCTGGCTGGGAAGATCTCGAGTGGGCGTGGATGGGAGGAGGGCAAGAAAGGAAACTTCCCTTCTCCAAGGAGGGTCTTGAAGCCCCTTTCTCCCCTTCCCCCCTCCCCCCACTGGCTATTAGCATGGCAACGGGGAGCTTCTGTAATTCGACGCCCGGGAGCGAGTGAGCCTTGGGAGTTAAGCTTGCCGGAAGAGGTCGGGGTGGCCCGGCTCTTCGCCCTCCCTCTCTCCCCGCTCTCCGCCCCTTTCTCCTCCCCATTCAGAATTGCTCTGGGAGCCCTACGGGGTCCGGAGCAACTCCGCCGCTGGATTTTGAGGGGTAGGAGGCGGGGGAGAGAGATGACGCTAGCGGACGTGGCCAGCGTGGGGGCCGGGCCGTACGCTGCAGACCATCTGCCGGCTCCCTAGGACCCAGAAGTCTGGGTCCTCCTAACCCGACCTCAGAAGGCGAGCAAGTACACAGCTCCAGCAAAGTACGCTAAACTACCATCCCCGCCCCCGCAACGTTTCTCGTTTTCTGGAGGGGGATGTTAGGAATGGTAGAGCCTCCTTTATCCACCCCCATCCCGATTCTGCTGCACAGCTGAAGTGGGGGTGAGAGCTGGCAGGTGGGAGGGCGGTGGACAGATGGTTGATGGTGGATGGGACATTTTTTTCCTCCCTTTTGTGACTGACTGTAGTTACTTGTGTGAACCTTCAAGTCTCTCCCTAGAGAGACACGTGTAAATCTGAGTGTCATCCCAGGACAGGGGTCCTGTTCTCCATCACCCTCATCCTACCCGGATGCTGACGGGGTCGTTAATTGCTGTTTACTATTAGGTTTCGTGTCAACCCTTGGCTTATAGAGAGAAAAGGCCAGAGGCCAAGAATTGATGCATTCTTAGGTAAAAGAAATCCAAAGATCATCCAAGAAGTTTTGTAGCCAATGCTGTGCAGGTTTTACTCTGACCATGTTTGCCACATTGCAATCGGACAGATGAAATTTATCTGAGGATTGTATGTGGATTTGGGGTTCCCACTCGCCTCTAGTTTTCCCTTCCCAATTAGAAGAAGGAAGTTTTGCTCGAGGCAAGCACATTTCCAATGTGTTAGCCTTTCAGGTTTCTGTGTCTTGTTCTCCACATATAGGAGTTCCCTCCTAACCTGTCCACAACTCTGGCAGATATTTGACTATGGATTCCTTCAGTAGCAAAGAAATATTTCCCCTAAACATTTCCTTTTGAAAGTGTACTTTCCTGTGACCTTTGACCCATCCCCAATAATGGTTAAGAAGGAGGCAGAAAAGGTCACTCCTGCCCCAATTGCAGCATCTGGGGAACCTCATCCTGGAGAAGGGAAAAGGCAAGGCAGCCCTACCGATGGTGGCTTCCTTGGGAGTGCCAGGCCTCCAGTCAGGGGTAGAGAAGGGGCTCCTGTTGGAGAGGAGGTAGGACGTGAGTGGGTCTCGGCTGGCATTGCGGAGGATCTGCTCTCCCAGCCGAACCCATCGGTACGTTCTCCTCACTTGTCTCTTTCTTGTCCCTTTGTTGGCCTCCTCGGCCGCCGGCCACAGGGCTCGAGCCACAAAGCCACCCTAGTCCACGTGCCGCTCGCCTTCCTCTGCTTGTTCTCGGCCTCTGGCGCTCCTCTCCCTCCGCCTCTCTTCCTCCCTCCGGCCTCTTTTCAGGATGGAATCCTGGATGGAGCGTTTTTCTTGGGATCACAAGTGTGCGCTCGCACCCTCGCCGGCTGCACGCGGGCGGGCGACCAGCCTGCCTCGGCTCACTGCTCCCGGCAGGCCGGGCTCTCGCGGCCTGGCCAACTCCGCCCCGGCTGGCTGCCCAGAGCGCTGCTCTCCCGGCGCGGCTCACAAAGGCAGCCTCCTCTGGCCACGAGCCCGCAGGCTTCCGTAGCTCGGTTCCTTCCCCACCCCCACGAAATACTAAGGCTCACTTCTCCTTGTAGGAGACCCTTGGTCCTCTGGGCAAGTGGTCTAGTGCCCCAAGACTCGAGCTAGTCTCTTTAACCCCCCCCCCCCCGGAGAGTGGGTGAAAGGCGAGCTTGGTCACTAAATGATCGCCTGCAAGCGGCTGCTGGGCTCAAAGCGCCTCTTTCAGGGCTCTTCTACTAGAAGGGGAAGGAGCGAGGAGGAGACAAAACATCGCCGAGGCCCGAGCGGTTCACGGCATCCGCGGCTCAGCCAAGCTGTTGTTTTTAAAGAGCAATAAAAATGAATTATGACTAAACGCCTTCTAACTTAATGCTTTCGGACGGGATCCCCGGCAAATACGTAAGAGGATTTTTATTTGTGCATGTGTTCCTGCAATTGATCTCTTTGATGACATTCTCATTCATAGAAAGCGTTTGATTTATGAGTGTAGGATGAATCGCAAACAGCAGCGGCTTAGCCCTGGCCGCAGCCCGGCCGCCTGCTCAGCTCCGCTCTGCGCCTGGGGCAGGAGATCGGCCGGGGTCTTCACACGCCTCCACCACTGCCGGGATTAAGGGGCCAAAGAGTGGGGGAAGGTAGGGAGCATACCTAGGAAGAAAGATCGCTGTTTCCTAATAACTTATAAGCCTTTGCTATTGAGAGCCGGGTTCTTGAATCAACCCGCCCCCTACACATGTTGCTTACACGCTGCGTTTTCTCACGGTCAGTAGCCATCAGAACAGAGCTCAGTGAGGGAAAAAATAAACATAGGGAGACATAAGAAGGAAGGAAAAAGACAGAGTAACCCAGTAACATAGCCTAGATTACATTTTATTGATATTTCATTTAAAGTGCTTTTCTGCTTTTTCTCTCTAGAAACTGGTTTAATTTATAACCTAGGGTGTAGAAACATTCTATTTTAAATCTCATCTTGCTAACCTGACTTCAAAGATTTAATGGTCCATTATTTGCCATGTAAACATATTTAAGAATGAAATATTGATTTTTCTGACCCTGGGGGAAAAAAAATCCTAGTTTGACTGAACCAAAGGATTGGAAAGAACTCTTTCCAAAGTGCATTTTCCAACTGGTAACCTCTGTTTTGTTTTATTTTTGTTTTTCTCTTTCAGGTCTGTTTGCCTGGACCCATCAACAGCTGGGAGACTAATCAACCACACTGAAAATGTTCGGGGATTTGTGGGGGAGGGGTTTGGAATGTAGATGTTTGAAACAGATATGTATAAATAAATGAATTGTTGATAACTTAGTTATTGACCTGATACCTTAGTTATTGGTAGCTTGTTAAAGAAACTTCATGTTCCTCCTTCCTGGAGTTGGGGGTTTCTGTAGGCACTTTGTTTCTCCACTTTCAAAAGCTTGGGCTTGGCCCAGCTCTGAGGCTGCCCAATCATGTTTCTATTACCAATTTAAATCTATGGCTTGAACCTCTACATTGAAAAACCAAATCCATTCCCTTAAAAAACAACAACAACAACAATAACAACAACAAAAAAAATCCCCACACTTCTCAGAAGCCCTAACCATTTTTTGGCTTTCTTTTCCCTTGCTGACTGTTGAAGACTTTGAACATGCCCCCTTTAATAAATATATTAAAATTGAAAAAGAAAATGGATTGTTCCAGAATTTTATTTACCAAGTTAGACTAAAAGAGGAAAAAGAAACCGTTATGAGCCTTAAGAGGGGGAGAAAAAAAATAAGAAAGCTACTTATAGCAAAGGAGAATTTATTCTACCAAAAATACGCATGACAATGCATCCTAATGTAATACAAAAATAAAAAGAAAGTGAAGATACAATTATATGATCACTTTCTTGCAGGCCTCATATATTGCTTTCAGGAAATCACATAGAGGATTGTTGGGCTAGATTTAAAACAACTAAAACTCCAAAATAATCTGAAAAAGATGGCTCTGAAACTGGGTCAGGGGAATCACTAAAGAGAAAATCTTCAGCATTTAAAGAAGGGAGAGGGTAGATGGATGGAGAAGAAAATAAAATTAAAATTAACTCTCAGAATAAAAGAAGGCAAAACCACCTGGTCAGAGGGGTTTTTGTTTTGTGATGCTTTGTTTTGTTTTAATGTTTTTAGTAATTCAGATGCTGCAAGTCAATTGTGGTGAGTGTGTCTGTAAAAAAGTCAAAGCTGTCAGCTGAAATATCTACAGGACTGTCGAGGGAACCTGGCAAACTGGGCGAGACTGCATCTGAAAGCTGCAGGCAGGAATCTGTGGAAAAAACGTTAAAGTCCTGCAAAGAGGGGACCTCGAGGGCCTCGGGACTGTCATTGTTTAGGCCAGAGCCACAGTTCTGGCCCATTGTTGACAAGCAGTTAGGAACAGTGGGTGACTGGTGCTGAAAATGTTTCAGATTTTTCTCATTGCTGGTTAAAGGCGAAACTGGGAAACTTTGGGAGTCGCCATTGTGTCCATTGGGAGCCTGCTGCTGAGAGAGGGCATTTTGCTGAAAAGTGTAACCTTCCCTCTCCAGAAGGGCCCCGGAGACGCTGAGGGCTTGCTCAAAGAGCGACTTCTCTTCCTCATCCTCCTCCACTTTCTCAGAGTCTTCAAGGCTTTTAAATTTTCCTTCACTGTTTTGGTTCTCCTTACACTGGGTCTGCCTCTTGTGCTTCATTCTCCGGTTCTGAAACCACACTTTCACTTGTCTCTCAGTCAAATCCAGCAGCGCTGCAATTTCCACCCTTCGGGGTCTACAAAGGTACTTGTTGAAATGAAATTCTTTTTCCAGCTCTAAAAGCTGCGTGTTGGTGTAAGCAGTTCTCAGGCGCCTGGAGCCCCCGCCGCTGCCATCGGCGATTTCCAGGGATTCTGCGGAAAGGGAAACCAACAAGAGACACACGCACAGTTGGAGGTGGAGGGGTCCAAGCAGGGTTATTCCACTGGAGAATAAATATAGCAGAAAAGATCAACTGCAACAAAATGGCCGCCCCTGGATGCAGGAAAGCTATTGTGCTGCCTTTCCTGGGAGCCCAACCCGAGGAGACCCCATCTCTTCCACTTCCATCAAATTCCTGCCTGTAGTTTCCTCCAACCTCTCCATCCGGGAGCAAACTTTATATTAGCCACACCACAATTTATAATTAATGCATCAGCTGCTTAGCTGAGCAAGAGCGATCTATCACTCTTCATTACTGTCAAAAAGCCAAACTCTAGGACAACTAGACAAGAGGAGGTCAGTTCCAACTCAAATAAATCATCCCACATTACACAAGTTAGGGAAAGTTCCCCCACCCCCTTCTTAAAAATATATATATATATGTCTCATAGTGGAGCGCAGGATCCCTTTTCTCAACATCAAACCCGCTCCTGAGCCCACAGGGGAAGGGAAACCAGCCAAGCATCTCTCCCTTCCCCCTTCTCTCCCAGCCCACGCTCCCCTCCCCCATAACCGCTCTTGGGGCAGCCCAGAAGGGGAAGAGGGTCCCGGGACCTGGGGCCAAGTCTTTGGACTGACCTTTGTGGCTGAGGCAGGCAGGGCCGGTGGCGGCGGCGGCGGCCGAGGCGGGCGGCAGCGC